GAGGCCGCCGGAGGAAGCGGCCGGTGCAGCGGGGCAAACCCCCCTACTCCTACATCGCCCTCATCGCCATGGCCATCGCCAACGCCGCCGAGAGGAAGCTCACCTTGGGGGGCATCTACAAGTTCATCACCGAGCGCTTCCCCTTCTACCGGGAGAACCCCAAGAAGTGGCAGAACAGCATCCGCCACAACCTCACCCTCAACGACTGCTTCGTCAAGATCCCCCGGGAGCCCGGCCATCCCGGCAAGGGCAACTACTGGACACTGGACCCGGCTGCCGAGGACATGTTTGACAATGGGAGCTTCCTGCGCCGGAGGAAGCGCTTCAAGCGGACCGACATCACCACCTACCCTGGCTACATGCAAAACTCCAGCGCCTTCACACCCCCGCCCGCTGGCCGCCCTGCAGCACCAACAGCACCCTACCCCAACGCCCTCTGCTCGCCCAGCTATGGCCCCCAGCTCTCCAGCACCGTCTTCCACCCCTATGCAGCTGGGGCAGCACCGCTGACACAGCATCCCAGGATGTTCAGCATCTCCCCCCCTCTCCTGCCTGTGGCGCAGGGAAGCTACTCACCTAGCAGCCCACAGCTCTACGGGGCTCCCAACAGACTGGCCCTGCCGGCCATGCGGCCCCCCGCCTGTGCCGAGCACAGCGAGCAGCTCCTGGGGCTCTCAGCATCACCCCTCAGCCAGTTCGGCTCCAGCAACACCTACATGAGGCAGCCCAATTACCCCGCCGGCCTGGAGCGGTACATGTGATTGGGTCAGGCGGAACCTGGCTGGACATCCCCAGGCTCCCATGAGCATCTCGGGACATGTGGACTTCTCCCTGCTGTGGGGATCAGCTGGGGGGGGGTCAGGGGTCCCCAGCCTCTGCTGTGTGTGGACACGCACCTGTGGGGGGACCTAACTCCTCTCTCTCTCAGCTTATTTTTAACTGGAGGCAAGGTGGTCTATTTTTCTGCCCCATCCCCTCCTGGAAAAGCTGCTCTCCAGCTGCATCTGCCAGGCGGGACTCCCCATGCCCGGGGAGTGTCCCTTCTGCACAGCCCAACCCCGGGGATGCTGTCTGCGGCAGGGCACCCTGAGCACCCTGGGGCATCCCCTGGGGCCAGGAGGAACACACCCGGGAGGTGGGATAGTGCAGGAGCCCAGAGAGCAGGAACTGTCCTGCAAATGGGCTTTTCTCCTCTGTTCCCTGGGTGCCTTGTCTGTAACTGGAATAAGAGTTACCAAAAAACCCCCAAACATTAAACCAATTCACTGGATTTTAAATGAATATTTAAGATGTTTATAATTTCCTTCCTCTGCAGGAAAAAAAACCCTACCCTGACTACTTCTTTTTACTATTTTTAAAAATAACTTCTATTGTTAGAAAGGACTTTTTTAAAATAAAGCTTTTTCTTCCAACATGTCCAGTGCTGCTGTTCCTCTGGCTCTGGCCAGACCTTGGCGAGAGGAAATTATCAGTCTTGTAGCTGGTGGGAGACAGATTTGTGCTGCTGTTGTGACACTGCCGCGTCTTACATTTTTAGTGACACTTTGTAAAGCTGTCTATTATGATTTTTAAAAAAGCGAATGGTATCCAACACTGCCGAGCTGTGCCAAGGCTGCAGTAAGTTCTCCGTCACTTTCAAGGTTTGCCCGTGCAGCTTTTACTGGACTCTATGGTTTCCGTTTGCGTAGCAGGGAACGCATCTTCCCGCCGAGGAATCCCTTGCAGGTTAAATTCTGATTTAGTGCATCGAATTAGAAGATCATAGCTTTCCTTCCTAGCAACAAAACCCATTAAAGTTCCACTGTTCACTGCCTGGGTTGCTGCTCTTTATTTACAGGACTGCCAGTCAGAATGTCTTGCCAGGTTTGAAGCAGAATTCCCCATCCCCGGATTTAGCTTTTTTTAAATTTAAGTATCTTCCAGGTAGAAGTGACAAGCTAGGATTTCTCTCCTGTTTTTCAAGGATGTCCTCTGAAGCAGAGGAGTTTCTCATACTCCCTATCGCATCTTCCTCCTGCTTAAGGAGCAGTTGGGTATCAGTTGAGCTTTGGTGCAAGACTGAGCATCTCATTTCCCAGCTACTGGTCATGACCAAAAGCTGGGTGCAGGGGCAGGTACCCAAGGAGTCAGCTTTTGCTCACAGCTTGGGAGCTTGTGGCTTTTCATTCCTTTATCCCCTATGCTGTGTAGAAACTGGGAGTGGGGTTAGTATAAGAGGGGAGGGAAGAAAATGTTTTTTTTTTCTCTTGGCCTCCTTAAAATTGGGGCTTCATCTGTCTCCAAAAACTGGCCTACCTCTGGTCTGCTGAGCTGCTGGGCTCTGGGTCTCCTCTCTGGTCCCTCCAGCTTCACCTTTTCAGCTTTTGCACTGGTCCCAGCAATGGCTCCTGTGCGTTTTCCCTAGTGATAGCCCTGCTTGGAAAGGGCATTGTGAAAAAACCTACCCCTTAAAATACTTTGTCTCTCTACAGAAGATATCTATAGACAAAGACTTCTATCTAATGGAAGTTTGCAAAGTGCCATTCCTGTCCATAACATACTGTCTGTGTAGAGACTGGGAGGATGCTGAAATAATTGCTTGCAAGGTCAGTAGTAGAAAGGATACTTGTCGTAGCTTGCATTTGTTCCCAGGGCTTGATCCTGCAATGTTTTGCAAACAAAAGCACTTTTGAAGTCTTGCCTAAGTATCCAGGGGGTCAGAGCCAGACATATGCCCAAAGTGCTGGGTCTGCTGGCTTCCTTTCAGCATCGCCAGGCGCTGGGCTGGGACTCTGCTAGGTTTACACTGTGAGCAGGAGGGTTGCTGAGGTAGGGGAGAACCAAGTACCAGCATGAAAGGAAAGCAATGTTGGGTGGAGGGGGTGGGAAGGAGATGCTGTGGTTCTGCCTGGGAGGGATACATCGGGAGGCGGTGGCTGAGCTGGGACATCTCAAACCAGGCTGAGCCTGCTCCTCCCCAGTCACCCTGGAGCCCTGCAGGAGCGGAGAGACGGTGTCGCAAAGGGTTTTCCAGGTTCCTGGCATCTCTGGGTGTTACTCAAGTGCTGGTGGAGCATGGGGAGCTCAGGATGTCTGAAGGGCTGGGCTGTGGCTTGCTCCTGTCCCCCAGCCATCTGCACCCTCCTCCCACAGGGGTCTCTGGAGAGCAGTACCCAGCTCCAGATGTCAGGGGGATCTGCAGGAGACCCCTCCTACCTCTGTGCCTGTGCAAGAGGCATCTGTTCTGCCAAGGGGGCTCTGGCATGAAGCAAGAGTCACCGCAGTGGACTGGATCCCAAAAAAACTGACTCAGAGAGAGCAGACAACCCTATTCTGGTGTGTTGGGACAAACCTTGGTGTTCAGTGTTGAATTGCACATCTTCCCAGGGCCCCGTATCTTCCCGTCTGCCAGACAGCCCCAGCCTGGAACCCCCCACAAGCAGCAATAAGCCACCCTCACTGTGGGCCTTATGCTGCCAAACAAGATGGAAAGCATGGGGAACAGAGCCCTTTTCTTCTTTTTCCTGTAGATATTAATCCTCACATGCACAAACCTCTGGCAACTTGTATTGTGATTGTCATTAAACGAATGCCTTCAGAGTGTCGTCTTGGTTAACTTAATGTATCCCAACCAGGCTTTTAAGCTTTCATTTCAAAGCTTTGTTTACAGTTAGGGTGAATCTAGCAAATTAGTAGGATTAAAGTGTCATGTAAAGCATGAGCCTTGCTGGGACAGAGCGGTTTCAAGCTTTGTAAAGTTTATACCTGAGCCCTTCATTTGTTTTAGTGTCTTTTCGATGTCCCTGTTTAGTGAATAAGAGGGATTTGAATGAAACAGGAGTAATTATCGCCCAGATTTCAGTTGTGAAACCAAGTCTCCTTTGAAATCCTCCCCTCTTTATTTAGGGAGTTTAGGGAATATAAGTAATGACAGTCATAACTATCTTGATCTTGCTCACACAAAAGCCAGAGGCAAAACTTTTTTTGCTCGCTGAGACTGTGGAATGAACGTCATGCTTCAAGGTGATGGCAAGAGGTCCTCTGCACATCCTGCTGTGGGGAGAGCCCTGTCTGGAGCCCATGAGATACTGAGGGGGTGTTGGAGTTGATCTCAAGCACCAAAGAGATTTGAGTGGTGATCTGGACTATCAGCAAGACAGTCTGATTTATCAGGGAATGGCCCTTTGCAAATCAGGATGAATTAATATCTCTCAGGCTGCACGTTCAGGAACAAGTAACCAAAATGAGCTGCCACTTTGAAAAAGATGCTTGTTTTCCTCTGGGAAATACCGGCTGCCCAGGGAGGACCAACCAAGCTGCCATGTCTGTCCGCATGCCACAGCATTCTGTGTCATTTCATGCTTGTGCCACCTTTCTACAGCTTCCCCACAGGCTAAAACAAGCAATAAGAAATGCTCTTTCTGGTTGATATTCCTGAGCTATAAATAGCGTTTTCCATCCAGCTGCAAACAAACACAGCATTAGCTGAAATTTTAGTCAAAGCACATTTCCAGAAGAACTTATCAATCCCTCTGGTAGTGTTAGTTTTTTCTGGATGCTGCCAGCTGCCCACTGGTAGTCCCAGTGTTGGAAATTTTCTACCATAACTAGCTATTTTTCTATGAAATGATTTGCCCTTTGCGAATATACAGCTTGAAGACAGTCAGTGGTGTCTCTCTGAGGTCAAGATTGAGTCAGTGAAGTCAGACGGTGATGGGGAGATGGGCAGTGGGTGCAGTGGGACCGGCTGAGATTGGCTTTGTCAGCTGACAATGAGTTTTTAACACATTAGCACCTGGGAGTCAGCACTGCCCGAGCACTGAGCTGCATCTCGGGGTACTGGGGGTCTGTCACCACCTCTGCTAGGTTATATTTTATATACTTTGGGCAGGAGTGTTGATCTGCTCGAGGGTAGGAAGGTTCTGCAGAGGGACCTGGACGGGCTGGATCCATGAGCCAAGGCCAACAGTATGAGGTTCAACAAGGCCAAGTGCCGGGTCCTGCACTTGGGTCACAACAACCCCATGCAACGTTACAGGCCTGGGGAAGAGTGGCTGGAAAGCTGCTTGGCAGAGAGGGACCTGGGGGTACTGGTTGACAGCCAGCTGAATATGAGCCAGCAGTGTGCCCAGGTGGCCAAGAAGGCCAATGGCATCCTGGCTTATATCAGGAATAGTGTGACCAGCAGGAGCAGGGAAGTCATCATGCCTGTGTACTGGGCACTGGTGAGGCTGCACCTTGAATGCTGTGTTCAGTTTTGGGCCCCTCACTCCAAGAAGGACACTGAGGGGCTGGAGTATGTCCAGAGAAGGGCAGTGAAGCTGGTGAGGGGTCTGGAGCCCAAGGCTGATGGGGAGCGGCTGAGGGACCTGGGGGCATTCAGCCTGGAGAAGAGGAGGCTGAGGGGAGACCTTATCGCCCTCTACAACTGCCTGACAGGAGGGGGGAGCCAGGTGGGGGTCGGTCCCTTCTCCCAGGTAATGGGCGATAGGACGAGGGGAAATGGCCTCAAGTTGCACCAGGGGAGGTTTAGATTGGTCATCAGGAAAAATTTCTTCCCCGAAAGGGTTGTCAAGCATTGGAACGGGCTGCCCAGGGAAGAGGTTGTGTCCCCATCCCTGGGTGTATTTAAAAGTCAGGCAGACGAGGTGCTTAGGGCCATGGTTTAGTGGTGGGATGGCAGGGTGAGGTTAACGGTTGGACTTAATGATCTTAAAGGTCTTTTTCCAACCTAAACGATTCTGATTTGGGTCCTTCCCATCCGGGCAGGAGCGGGTGCT